CACTGACCTGGAATTATTGATCAAAGAAACCCTCCACATCAAGCAGCACTCTCCAACTCTGAACAACATGCAGTCTTCATTTAAATTATACATTTTTTAATATGTTCGTATTACTGATTTTTCGTGTTTTTTTTTTCGTTGTGTTTTTTTTGCTGTAGTTTCTCCCCATGATTATTGTTTAGTGTTTTATTTGTTTAATTATCGTTATATTTAGCAACTGTACTTTGAAAATGTATAAAGACTGATGTAAATTCATTTTATTCTGCTTCAGATACTGAAGATGGAATCTGATAGAATTCCGAAACGTTTATCCATGTCCCTTTTTTGTCAATAAACAACGTTGTATATCATAAGTATTGTAATCTTGTTTATAATTTTATTCCAACTGGTCCCTATACAACAAGAACAATTATGATATACAAAATTACAATCTCTAGTAGAAGACAAACAACTGTTAGGGCGTATTCCATCCAGCACAACCTGACTGAACAATTCGTGGTGTAATATTAAATACACGAACCAAAACTACCTTTTCAAGTCAATGGCTTTGGTTCAAGACGCTCAATTATATAAAATTACCCCCCCCCCTTTTTTTTTGTTCGAAAACTATGCTTTAAAGTAAAGAATTAGACTTTGTCCCTATGCATATGCTCTTAGTTAGTGAGTTAAATTATTAAAACTGTGTCCATTTGGCTTCTATTGAGCCAACTACATGTGACAGGTTGTAGATACATTACGTGTTAAATATGCTTCTCAAAATCCCAGATTCAGAACTTCAAAATAATTTACATATATCAAATTAAATGAAGAACATGCTAAACTCACCCATCTCTCTGTTCATTGCCAAGAAAACAGTTATTAGTTACCATGATTTACACTGAATATTTTCTAGCACATCTTGTTTTACCTAAGTGAGCTCTAATTGTTCAAAATGTATTAATACTGCACAAAACCATTCACTATCATTAAAAACCTTAATTTTTCAATTCAGTTTAGAATTATTACAACCACTTTTGAACACCTATTTGAGCATGAATGTATAAAAACACTCCACAACCACTTACTTCTGCTTAGATATATAACTTTATGGTTTATTTCCATCAGCAGTTTGTATTTTATGAGAGTAGTATAACATACTCTTCAACTATGTAGTATTAAAAATGTCTTTTCAGTCTTCTATTGGCAGCACTTTCAACAAGACACTTGAAATATGTAAAGTGTAGTTTCTTTGAATGACAGAACATAGTAATTAATAGTAGAAAAAAAAAAGGTTCATTTCTGTTTGGACAACTAAGTGGATCCAAATTATTTATTATAAAAATGCTTTTCGATCAAACTGTTTAGTGTGAAAAGTTTAAATTTTTGTGATAAATAATTCTGTTCCTGATGAACTGCAGTTATTTAATGTAAAAGTGCCAGTAATGAAAGTAAATTGAAAATTTATGTGTTATTGATTAAAATAAAATACATTAAGCCTGTAGGATAATATATAAATTATATAATTGATACTTGAAACCATCGGTACTCAGTGAAACTCCATATTTACAGCTGTACAATGTAAAATTCAAATCATCCAAAATAATTACTTCAGAAATATCTTTGCTATGGTAAAGATTACATTTATCCAAGAACTGTTTTTTTTTCTTTAAGTCTTATAAACACTTTTTATTGACAATTCTGAATATTTTAAGATGTATCCAAACTCCACATGAGCTTAAAAAACCTTTTACTCAGGGAAGAAATGGTATTGTCCCTATGAGTAACCATGTAGAATGAAAAATGCTGATAGTGATGGAACACCACCACTATGGCAATGTGCAGACCAACCAAACTCTGATAGCCTTAGTCTTTAGACTTACCACTCTCTCACCTATTCAGCTTAACTACAAACTCCAATCTAGAACTCCAAATCTCCAGGAGCAGATGTAATCTTAAAGAGCTGGAATATAGAATATTTGTAAACAAATTTAAATGATTTCCTTTTTACCTCCATTTCAATTTTTGGCATGTTCCTTAAAAGCAGTCACATAAATGCTACATAATGAGATCACAAATCAATGACATCTCTAACAATAAAATAAAAGTTTATCACAGAAAAAAATTTAGGAATAAACAGCACCATTGATCCTTACAATGCTGAAGTAAAGTTTAATAACAAACTTTTCCCTTGTTGTAAGGTTGTTATAGTTACATTCTAGATAGTGTCGTAGATACTCACTTTATGTGCAGGGAGAATACCATTTCCATATTTTAAGGTAGGTTATTTCATTGGTTTAATTATTTCAGTCTGAATATAATGTCAAATTATTCTAATTC